CCAACCCCACATGGCAGCTAACAACTGTCTGTAACTCCAGTTCCAGGGGATCTGACAGCCTCTTCTGTCTGCCTCAGGCATTGCATGACACAGGTGCACTTACCTACATGCAGTCAATACACTCATACACATAAAAATAAATTTTTTTTTTTAAAGAAAGAAACAAAGATCAACAGTTAGGATGGACAGCATGGCAGGGGCAACATGGGTCTGAAGTTGGAAATAAAGTTAGGCAAATCCTGAGCGGTCAGGGACAGAGCTGGAGACAGGGAAACTTCCAGATGAAAGGAGTGATTGAATTCACAGAGGTAAAACTAGTCCTCAAGAGAGGGAGCAAAGGGGCTGGAGAGATGGCTGATTGGTTAAGGGCACTGGCTGCTCTTGTAGAGGACCCAGGTTCAGTTCCCAGCATCCACATGATAAGCTAACAACTGTCTGATACTCCAGATCCAGGAGAATTTTACACCCTCTTCTGCCTCCTTGGGTATTACATGATGAGTACGCTTACATATATGCAGGCAAAACACTCTTACACATAAAATAACACCCCCATCACACCCCTGTACCACCCACCCCACTCCCCAACCCATACCCCATACCCTACAGCCCCCCAGAGGAGAAGGCAAGGAGCTGAGTAACAATGATGCTCTGCCACCTTGGGAAAATAAGCATTATATGTCAAAGTAGAGGGCTGGAGGCGAGGCTCAGGGGCAGAGTGTGAGGTCCTAAATTATATCCCTAGCACTGAAAGAAAAAAAGGAAAGCGTTTTTTTTTATCGAAAGGCCCAGAAGTGGTTAACAACATCTGGATTACTACTTAATCCAGAAAAAGGCTTGATAAGCTCTTCAGAGCACTCTGCACACTGCCTAGTCCAAAATGCTAATGGAGAGAAGCAAAACACAGAGAGGAGCAAAAGGGCCCTACATTTGTGTGGTAAGCACTTCATGTATTAACTTCCAAAGAAGTGCTAGAGCACATGAGGTCCGCCTGGCCAGGCCGCAGAGTAGCTCACCTAACTAAGGCAGAGGTAAACTCCTTATAATTACAAACCCTCCCAAGAGGCAGGGTAGAGGTCAACACCCAGTAACCTTAAAGTGTCCATGCATGGAGAGGAAAGACAGGCTGGATCCGTGACAGGTCCATCAGGTCTTTTTCTTTTTTTTTTTTTAATTATTTTTATTTTATGTATGTGAGTGTATTGTCTGCATGTGTGTAAGTGTACCCATGTCATGCAATGCCTGCAGAAGTCAGAAGAGGGTATCAGATCCCCTGGAACTGGAATTGTTAGCCACCATGTAGATGGTAAGAATCGAACCTGGGTCCTCTGCAAGAGCAGCCAGTGCTCTTAACTGCTGAGCCATCTCTCCAGCCCCACATCAGGGCTTTTTCTTCTTACAGCTATTTCTTCTGGAAGTTTTAGGGGTGGACTGCACTAAGTTCAGGCTTAGGAAAAACCTATACACACAAACATGGGAGAAGAGAAGAGAGAGAGAGAGAGAGAGAGAGAGAGAGAGAGAGAGAGAGAGAGACTGCACCGGGCCAGTTAACGGGTGGGCAGAGCAGCTGCTGTGTGTTTGCAGAGAAGTGTCAATGAAGAGGTCTGACCACTGCCTGTGGAACTTAAGCCTGGGGCAAGGGCCTAGAGATTCCAGCCATGCAATGGGAAAAGGTAGCCAACGATGCCCACACTCTGGAGGCTGAGGCAGGAGGATCACCTGAGTCAGCAGTTTAAGGTCAATCTGGGCAATATGGCCAGACACCAGCTCAAAAGTTTTTCGTTTGTTTTTTGGGGCTTTTTTTTTTATGTATATGAGTGTATTGCCTACATATATGTAAGTGCACCTATGTCATGCAATGCCTGAAAAGGTCAGAAGACAGCATCAGATCCCCTGGAAATGGAATTACGGATGGTTGTTAGCCACCATGTGGGTGCTGGGAATTGAACCCGAGTCCTCTACAAGAGCCATCTCCCCAGCCCCTGGGTAGGGTTTTTGTTTTGTTTTGTTTTGTTTTTAAAGAAAAAGGTGAACTTGTTATACTGTGATCTTATTGTACAATAGCATAATGTTCAGCTACGAAGAATGAGGCAGGTCTATGTGTGCTCACAGGGAGCAAAGTCCCCAGATCAAAAACTATTTTTTTTTGTCTTTTTGAGACAGAGTCTCCTTGTAGCCCCAGCTGTCCTGGAACTCATTATATAGACCAGGCTGGCCTTGAACTCACAAAGATCCGCCTGCCTCTGCCTCCCAAGTGCTGGGATTAAAGGTGTGTGCCACCACGCCAGGCTCAAAGATGTTTTTTTAAAAAAGTGTAGCAAGGGTGTGTAAGATCATAGAGTACTCTCACTGGTGTAAGAGAAAGAAAAACTGTTAGTATAGGTGAGCATATCTGATAAACAGATTCTCAGCAGTAGTTGCCCATGGACAGAAAATGGGGCATGAGGAGAACGGGTGAAGGGGATGGATAGGCTTTATTTTCCATGATGCCCTTTTATACCTTTAGCATTGTTTCATATGTATAAAACTAATATATTGTTTAATGGTCTTCCATATACACACATGTATGCAGACACATACATGCAAAGAACAGGCTCATCTGCACAGAGGGTGATGTTCCCCATCTCCCCACCTTTCTAGAACTCCATGTCCTCTTTCAGGTACATACATGCAGCTGCCCACCCACCTCCACCTCTGATCACCCACAGTTGCCTAATTGCATTCCAACCATCACCACCACGACCACCACTCCCACCAGCCTCCCCTCTGATCACAGGGCACCTGCTCCTGCTGTCCTAGGTACCTGAAGATGGAATTAATCTGTTCTACATCACATACTATAGACGCCTGCAGAGCTGATCCACTCTAGCTAAAGCTTTCCTTCTCTAATACATCTGCCTATTAACAATGAACTCCAGTCAGAGTGACAGGGAAAAGTGGGGTGGGGAAAGGCAAGTGAGACGTCTAAAAGAGTCAGGAGGGCTGAAGAGATGGCTCAGCAGTTAAGAGCACTGATTGCTCTTGCAGAGGAACGGGGTTCAATTCCCAGCACCCACATGATGGCTAACAACCATCTGTAACTCCAGTTCCAGGGGATCCAATGCCCTCTTCTGACCTCCACAGGCACTGCACAACACACGTGCATCTACCTACATGCAGGCAGCACATTCATACACATAAAATTTTACAAAAATAAAAATAAAAAAGGCCAGCCATGGTGGCACAGCACTTGGGAGGCAGAGGCAGACGGATCTCTGAGTTCAAGACCAGCCTGGTCTACATAGTGAGTTCCAGGCCAGCTGGGGCTACAGGGAGACCCTGTCTCAAAAAGACCAAAATAATAATAATAATAATAATAATAATATAATAATAACAACAACAACAACAACAACAACAACAATAATAAATAGAAGGGTCAGGAGACCTGAGTCTTATTCAGGCTCTGTGACTTAGGAGGGTCAGGAGACCTGGGCCTTATTTAGGCTCTGTGACTTGGGACAAATGGTTTCACCTTTCTGAGTCTCAGTTTCATTACCTGAAAAAGAAGGTGGCTGCAAGATACCATCTGCAACTGAGACTCTCTAGACCCAACATACCCCAAATCCCAGCATGCACTGCTCTTCTCTGACACTGATTCCCCTCCTCTGAAACTGGCCAATACGTGTGGTGTGCTGAATGATACTGTCCAAATTTAATCAGCACTGGACAATCTAAACATTCTAGAAGCCTCACTACAAAAAGCAAGAAATAGATCAAATCAGTTTCAATGTATTTTATTTAACCCAATATAGTCAAAATATCATTTCAATATGAAGTCACTATAAAAATCTTTGCATTTTTTTTTAAGAATTTGGTCTTTGAAATCTAGTATGTATATTTTACAATTACACAATGTGTCCACATGGACAAGTCACATCTAAAATGCTCGAACAGCCGCCTTTGGCTGATGGCTACTCTACTGGGCAGTACAGGGATCAAGGTCCTTCCTTCACTATGACCTTAAGCCCAGCACTGAGGACCAGCCAACATCCTTGGAAATTTTGGTCACAGTAACAGCAGCAGTTCTGGTTCCAAGTTGCTCACCTGACCAGGCAGGTGGCTAGGGCTGGGTACAGCCTGCCCTGCAGTGCTCAGGGCAAGCACAATCAGCCCCACAGGCCACCAGCAGAGCAACAGTGAGGAACACTGGGAGAGAGTAGAAACAAGCTGGGCATAACGGTCTTCATGTCAGAGCTTCACAGTACAGAACAGCGCTCACCAAAAAGCACATGTCCTCTTGTACCAGTCCACTAATAAACCCCTCTGAGAACCTGGTCACTCCCAGCCCTTGGAGGACTCTGGGGACGGCTGTCACTCACAAGAACTCTTTCCTGGGGCAGAAGAAGGTGCCAAGTGTGTCATAAAAAATCCATTACTCACCCAAGAGTCCCTATGAGATGAGGACAGACTTACAGATGAGAAGGGTGAACTCTGTCCAACAGTCACCCACACAGCAGAGCAAGCATGTAAGCCTTACTCAGACAGTCCACAGCCTCCCACTGCAGCTTCAAAGAGAAAGCCAAAGGTCTCCTGGAGCAGACCCTCCATCAGGAACAACTCAAGCCAGAGCACAGAGGCCTAAGGAGTGCCTGGAAGCTGGGAGGGCACTATGTACATGCCCACAGAAAAGAAGCCACACAGCAATAAAAAGTGTCAGCCACACCTGAGCACAGTGGGCCTTAGCGTCCACTAAGAAGAACGTGGATTTTGTCCTTTGGGCTACAGAGGCCATAAACAGTTTTCTTTAGGGCAAAGAATGACCAGATTGTCATTTTAAAGAAATCATTCCATCAAGTTACTCAGGAAGCTGAGAAAGAATGAGGGGAGGGAGGGAGGGAGGGAGGGACAGAGAAGATGAACGACATCTTCATCTTCCTTTCTAAGTGGACTGACCTTTAGAAGGAAGTGAAAATATTCTCAAGAAGGGATCTCAAACCATCCTGAATCCTTTTCTTTCCCCAGGGATCTAGGGTCTATTTAAAACCCATATAAAAAAATGACAGCCCAGGGCTGGAGAGATGCCTCAGTGGTTAAGAGCACTGATTGCTCTTGTAGAGAACCCAGGTTCAATTCCCAGCACCCACATGGCGGCTACCAACTGTCCTAACTCCAGTTCCAGGGGATCCTACACCTTCTTCTGACCTCTGAGGACATTGCATGACACAGGTGCACTTATATACATGCAGGCAATACATTCATACACATAAAATAAAAATAATAAATAATTTTTCTTTAAGTGACAGCCCCATTTCCTACAGAGCTGGACATCTTTGGGATTTAGACAGAATTCTAAAGGCCTGTGAAGTTTCCCTCTCTAAGAAGTTGTTTACTCACAGTTCCTGAAAATCAACCAACAGAAAGCTAATGTGCACTCTGTATTCTCATCCATAGTGACGGAGATCAGTGTGGGCAGCCCACTGGACACCTTCACCACCCTGACAGCAGCACAGTGCTCTGTACTTATAGAAACACAAAGACCCTTGTGGCCAGTGAGAAGACATGCTGAAACGCCCAATGCCTCCTCCCTGAGGTTTGTCCACAGGCCCCCACAGCTCATCAGCTCACCTCATTACCCAGTTCCATTTTCAGCTCTCAGCTCTGAGACTGGCCTACTTTTCACACCACATGAGCAAAGAAACGTGGGCATTATACAAACAACAGAACACAACTAGGACAGCAAGACACAGAAAGGGGACCTGCCACTGCCTGTACAAGGAGAAACAGTGACGGGACAAAGTCAACTGGGCAGATAAGGGTGGGGAGACCAGTGGGCAGACGCTGGGTACAACAGGGCAGTGCTTGGCCCCTGGCATACTAGAAAACTGAGCTGAGGACCAAGAGGCACCAAGAAAGATCACATTCCCCAGAGATAAGGTCAGGCAGGCTCACTTTGCTCCCAGTCATCACACGGGTGGCTGAGGCCACATCTTGTCTCAACAGCAAAATGCCTCAAACAGACGCCTCTTGCCCCACTGCAGGACGATGGGGATGGGAATGTGGACTGACTCGTAATGACATCACACCTTCGAGAGGAGCATGGGAGAGAAGAAGCTCCTCTGGTTTCACTCTAATTCAGCTACTGCCCTGTGGAGAACTTTTCAGAAGTTTTTCAGAGAAGTGGAAGGCCAAGAGTCACACCACAGGATGCGGAACCTCCCACTCCCTCAGCACCTTGACCTGGAAGGTCACCGGGTGCCTTTATCAAGACAATGGAATGTTTCAGGGCGCATTCCCTGCTCCCAAACCCTTCCTTTCGGAGGGACTGTTGAAATAAGAGGTACCATTCTGGGCAGCTGGACCTCTGGCACCACTGTTGCCACAATCCCCATGAGGCCGGCCGTAAGGGAGGGCTCAGAGGCAGCAAGCTGCAGCTCACCTCAGTCATTCTTTCTAGAATGAGGTGGGCCCACTCCAACTGGGCCTTCTGGCTATCAGGACCCAGCCACTGGGCTCAGCTTTTCTGCTTCTGTAGATGTGGACAGTAAGAGACCGAGGCAGCCAGGAAGGACCACTTAGTCACAGAGGACGAGGGGGTAGAGGCGTGCCAGCGTGGCCTTCTGGATTCGGCGGAAGAGCTGCACCAGCTGGTAGAGGAGGGGCAGGGAAGAAGGAGACGCTGTGGGGAGAAGAAAAGACCCCGTGAGTGCTCCTTCCCTCAGACCCCTCTATGGTGGCCCGAAAGCACATCTGGGCATCATGCTACTCACACCCTCCTCAACCATAAGGAGTTTCTCTTTCGCTATGCTTTCTCCACTTGAACTACAGTCACCTTAAATTTTCTGAGAAAATGATTCAGATTTATTACATTTTAATCCTTCTGATATATAAACAACTGGTGGTGACTCAGAGAAGCCCACACCCCTGCTTCCAGGCATGTCTTCTTTCTGAGCACCTCTCTTTTTATTTTTAATATTTTATTTTTATTTTATGTGTATGAGTGTATTGCCTGCAGGTGTGTAACTGCACCTGTGTCATGCAATGCCCACATAGGTCAGAAGAAGGCATCAGATCCCCTGGAACTGGAGTTACGATTTTTAGCCACCGTGTGTGCTGAGAATTGAACCCAGGTCCTCTGCAAGAGCAGTCAGTGCTCTTAACTACTGAGCCATCTCTCCAGCCCCAACCTCTCTTTCTTAACTCACATGCTTAGGCCTACAGGAAAACATTTTTATTAACTGCTAGGTATGGTGGCCCATACCTTTAATCCCAGTACTCAGGAGGTAAGACAGGAGGATCTCTGTGAAATTGAGGACAGCCTGGTCTACACAGCTGGAGCTATAGGGAGGCCTTGTCTCAAAAAAAAAAGAAAAACTTTTTTATTAAAGCCCAACTCTGCTTTAAAAAAAATAAAAACACTGGTAACAATGGCTGCCTCTGAAGAGAATCACTTTGGGAGACTTTTCACTATGTTTTGTACTTTTCTGTGATTTTTTTTTAGTTTAAAGACTATTACCTTTTTAAATAATTTTTATTTATTTTCATTTTTTTAAATATTTTATGTAAGTACAACATGACATACAATGCCCACAGAAGGCCAGAAGACAGCATCAGATCCCCTGGAACTGGAGTTATTGACAGTTGTTAGCTGTCATGTGGGTGCTGGGATTCGAACCTGGGTCTTCTGCAAGAACAGCCAGTGTTCTTAACTGCTGAGCCATCTCTCCAGCCCCTATTTATTTATTTTCATTTTATGAGTGAGTGTTTTGCCTGCACATATGTAAATGTACCCATGTGTACAATTCCTGTGGAGGCCAGAAGACAGCATCAGATCCCCTAGGACTAGAGTTATAGTCAGTTGTTAGATACCATGTGGGTACTGAGAATCCAACCCGCAATGCAATCCAATCCAATCCTCTGCAAGAGTAACCAGCACTCTTAACGGCTCAGTCACCTTCCAGGCCCAGTACTATCTATTTTTACCACAAATTAGCTATATTGAAAGTAAGGGGCTGGAGAGGTGGCTCAGTGGTTAAGAGCACTTGCTGCTCTTCCAGAGGACACAGGTTCTGTTCGTAGCACCCAAATGAAGGCTCACAACTACCTACATGCACATGGTGCTATTACATACACTCAGGCATACACATACACATAAAATAATTAAATTAAAAAAAAAAAAAGCCAGGTGCAATGACACACACCTTTAATCTTAGCACTCAGAAGGCAGAGGTGAATCTCTGTGAGACTGAGGTCAGCTGGGTCTATAAAGCAAGTTCTAGGCCAGGCCACCGGGTCTCAATAATTTTTTTAATGGAAATATATATTTCTATCTTTGTTTCTGTTTGGGTTTGTTTTGGTTTGGTTTGAGGGGAGCTGTTTTGTTTGAGACAGGGTCTCGTAGCCCCAACTGACCTGGAACTTGCAAAAGAAGGCTTTGAATTTCTGATCCTTCTGCCTCCACCTCCTGAGTGCTAGAATTACAGGCACATATATGACCACACTAAGCTTTACGTGATGCTGGGAATAGAACCTAGGGCTTAGAACCCACACCAAACAAGCATCCAACTAACTGAACTAATCCCTAGCCTGAAAAACAGGGGAAAAAATACACAGAGAGAGAGAGAGAGAGAGAGAGAGAGAGAGAGAGAGAGAGAGAAGAGAGATTTTCCTTAAGTAGAAATAAATGCTACAGCTCCTTGGAAGGCTGAGGCCAGAGCTTCAGTTGAGACCAGAGACTTGAGGGCAGGCTGGATAACATAGTGAAGACCCCCACTCCCCCATCTCAAATAAAAAAGAAGAAAAAAATATGTTTGCGGTAAAGTGCCTGCTGTACACGTATGAGGATCTGAGTTTGGCTCTCTAGCACCCAGGTAAGAGTCAGGCATGGTGACTCGACGGGACTGGAACCCCCTGGCAAGCTCCAGGTCCAATGAAGAGACTATCTCAAAAACAAAGGTGGAAGGGCTGAGATGGTAGTTCAGTGGTAGAACACTTGCCTCAAATGCATGAGGCCTGGGATTCAATCCCCAGTTATGATGATAATGATGATGATGGTGATGGTGATGATGGTGATGATGATGATGATGGTGATGGTGATGATGATGATGATGGTGATGATGACAATGACAATGACAACAATAATAATAATAATAATACGGAGAGTGAAAGAAGGTGATACCCAGTGTCAATCTCTGGCTTTCATGTGACACACATATGCAGAGAGAGAGAGACAGAGAGAGACAGAGACAGAGACAGAGAGAAAGACAGAGAAAGAAAGAAAGGAAAGACAAAAACATTAATTTATTTTCTCCTTTGGGGCTACGGATGAAACCCAAGGCTTCAAGCATGCTACATATGTCCTCAACCACCAAACTCTACCCCAGCACTCCATAAATGTTATTTTTCTTGGGGCTAAAGGTATGGCTTAACACCCACATGGCAGCTAACAAGTGTTCGTAACTCCAGTTCCAGAGGATCAGACACCATCTTCTGACTTCCAAGGGTACTGCGAGACACAGGAGCACTTACACATATAGGCAATATACTCATACACATAAAATAAAAATAATTTTAAAAATTTGATTTTGGTCTTTTTGAGACAGGGTCTCCCTGTAGCCCCCAGCTGACCTGGAACTCACTATGTAGACCAGGCTGGCCTCCAACACACAGAGATCCTGCCTCCCGAGTGTTGGGATTGAAGGCATGCACCACCACACCTGGCATAATTAATTTTTTAAAAAGTGGGAGCAGCTAGGAGGCAGAGGCAGGTGGATCTCTGTGAGTTGGAGGCCAACCTGGGTCTATATAGCAAGTTCCAGGTCAGCTGGGGCTACAGGGAGACCCTGTCTCAAAAAGTTAAAAAAAAAAAAAAAAAAAAGAAGTGGAAGCTTTAAAATTAAGCAAGCAAACTGTGCAACTCTGGTCTAGCTGCTTTACCTTTCTGGTTATTAGATCTCTCAATTAAAAACTAAAGAAAATGAATGGACTAGAATAAAGGTTTCTAGTTTCCTCTGTTTATCTAATTCTATTCTAAATCTAAACGCACGAGGAAAGGTAGACCTAGCCCACAGTCAGAGGCTAACACACAAAGCCCAGCATGGTAGCACATGCCTGCTATACCCACGTTTGGGAGGCCAAAGCAGAAGGACCAGGAGTTCAAGGCCAGTCAATTCTACACAGAAAGACCTTGGCTTAAAATTTTTCTTTTTTTGAGCCGGGTGTGGTGGTGCACACTTCGGTCCTAGCACTTGGGAGACAGAGGCAGGTGGATCTCTATGAGTTTGAGGCCAGCCTGGGCTCCATAGGGAATCCAGGCCAGCTGTGGCTCAAAAAACTAAAAATAAAGTTTTTCTTTTTTTTTTTTTTCCCTCAAAACAGTAGCCTCCTAACTGTGGCCCAGTATTTGTATATCTGAGCAATTACTCCTCAGGGAATCACCAGGACTATTCCCATGTTTCATTCAGGGAGCTCATCTCTGCAAGAATCATCATCAAAAGCCCAAACTTAGAAGCCAAACTTAGAAAAGTATTTTTGAATTTTACTGCCTACCACATCTGCAGCTGGAGCCACAGAGAAAGATTAGAAGCACAGGGTTGCATGGCAGATATGGAGGTTAGTTCTGGCTTCTTCCTCACACTTTTATTTCCCATATCTGCCAAAATGTCTGAGCATTTACAATTTCATGTTCATACTAACCAGGAGACATTAACACCTGGATCAATACTTCTTTAGGTCTTACAATAAGGAAGGCTTTTAAAATATTTTTTAATTTATATTTTATGTGTATGAGTGTTTTGCCTACATGTATGTAAGTACACCTGTGTTGTGCAATGCCCATGGAAGCCAGAAGAGGATGTTGGATCATCTGGCACTGGAGTTGTAGTTGCCATGTGGGTGTTGAGAACGAAATCCAGGTCCTCTGCAAGAGCAGCCAATGCTCTTAACTGCTAAGCCATCTTGCCAGTCCCTGAGGAAGGCTTCTTTGTGCTGCGTTCTAGCTAAAGGACCCCCTTGGATAAGCAGAGATCTAGGTGACTCCATTAGCCTGGAGGTCAGCAGAGCAACATACATGTTCCCCAAACTGCTCTCCTGGACTCTAAGTATACTCTCTCCTTCCAAGTGAAGTGGACTCATGTTCTTTGTGGAAGAATGGGGAACAATGCCAGAGGTGACTCCCTCCCCTGTAGACTCTCTGAAGAGCACCTGCTCTCACAGGCCCTGCCGTCAGTCCCCTGCAACACTTACCTGGGTCAAACCGCACCACCAAGAGAAAGAGGATCAAGGCAGCCAACAGGCTCTTTTTGAAGGGCTGAGAAAGGAGGTGACTCATTGCAGAGCCCCAAAGCCGGCGAAGTAACATCAGCAGTGACAGCAATTTATGGGAGAATGAACCTGATCAGGGGACAGAACATAATTCCAGCGTGAGTCAAGCAGAACTGCTTCCCTGGCTCTGAGCTTTGAGTTGAAGAGCTGAACAAAACGTAATGAGAATCATTTTCTCGTAAAGTAGTTCAAAAGTAAATTCTGAAAACTTCAAAAATGGCTTTTTTGTTCTTGCGTAGTTTTCTGCGATGCTGGGGTTGGCAGCCACAGCCTCGCGCTTGCTCAGCAAGCACTCTACTACTCAGCTGCATACGCAACCCTCCAAAAGCATGTTAAGGACAGACAATATCATGACATGGTCACATGCATACACCTTCTCAGCTGTGTAAGTTGGTGTCTCCTGATAACAGTCTCATTTTTTTTTTAATATTTATTATTTTTATGTGTATGCGTGTATTGCCTGCATGTTCATAAATGCACCCATGTCGTTCAATGCCCGGGGAAGACAGAAGAAGCTGTTGAATCCCTGGAACTGGAGTTACAGACAGTTGTTAGCTGCCATGTGGGTGCTGGGATTCGAACCCAGGTCTTCTGCAAGAACAGCCAGTGTTCTTAACCACTGAGCCATCTCTCCAACCCCAACAGTCTCATTTTATAGTACTCTTTAAGCTGTGACTTAACACAGGCATATAATAACACAGAGAAATAGAGGGCACTATTGCATGCAGTGAGGAATTCAAGATTTAGATTATGAATAGAAACATTAATACTAGTAACCCAACAAGTGGCACCCTGAGTCCTGACAGAACCACCTGGACTTGCCACACGGCAAGAAAGGTGATGGGTAGAGGGCCTGGTAGTGTGGTAACAAACAACCTGCTGGCAAAGAAGTGATCCTATCTCAGCAGGTTCACAGAGAAAAACGCTGTAGAGAACAGGATTATTACTTCCTAATTAAAGCTGACAGACTTTCATGTAATTTTTTTTAATAAGAATATTGAGTGAAGATCACTAGGCAAAAAACTTCAATGTCCCTACACTGTCCAAAGCCAGAATGTGCCACTTCAGGAGACAGGGGCTTTCTGACCTTGGGTGTGTTCACACAGAGACTCAAAGAAAAGGCACTAAAAGGATTGAGAAGCAGAGAAGTCTTTAGAGAGGGCCTTTAAAGTCCCTTATAACAAAGCGACCCTACCCCCACCCTCCACCCCCTTATAAGGACCCTTTATTATGATGATACCAGAAACCACTGGGTAAAACAACTGCATGCTAACGGACAAGGCAGACCTCACTTGAAAAAAATACTCATAAACTCTGTGAAGGCAGACAGGAGGTCAGCACAGGGGCCACAACTGAAGGAGGGAGGTTTTGTTTCGTAAGTTCCCAAGTTCCTGTATTAATTTCTTTGATGTTCTAAAGCACATCCCAGCTGTGTCTATACTGGGGCCAGAATTTAAGAGTGACAACCCCCAGACCAGTATGATGGAAGCAAGGTGTCTAGTGAGAGGACCCCAAGGAGATGACTAATGAGATCCTAAAGGAAGGTGGAGACTCAGCAACACCTCCCCATATGTAGACCGTCCTTCCATTCCAATTTCAGAGTCTGGCTTAGTTTGTGAAGCAGCTCAGTAGCTTTCTACTCCGTGATTTAGATCCTTTTGTTCTCAAGCTTAGGAAAGTCAGAAAGGACCCGGGTACAGGGAATGCCACAGGATCCCTCTGTAGAAGCCACAGAGCTCTGATGCCCTACCTTGCTGGCTCAGCTTCTGGGGCTCCTGGGGGATCAAGTGTTCCTGTATATGCTGTTGCCTTGCTGTATGAATGGCCTGGAGCATTTCTAGCCGCTGCTTCTCACTGAAAGCAGCAGAGCTCACCACCAGCTCCTCAGCCTCTGACAAGCGGCCCAGGGGTAGCAGCACCCGCAGCAGGTGGAGTTCTGCCAAGGATCCATACTCTGGAAGGTCCTGGTTTTCTGGGTCTTGGAGCCAGGCATCAACCACATCCAGCACAGCTCCAGGCTCTTGCATTTTGCTGTATAAAAGGATGCTGTGTCCCCCCAAAAGAGAAGAGTCAGTTATATTTTTTATAACCCCTAGATTTCTCCTATCCTACCCTCCCACACGCTTCAGCCCTTCCCTCTGGGATGCTGACACTCTTAAGAATTAGAGATTGGGGCTGGAGATATGGCTCAATGTTTAAGAGCACTGGCTGCTCTTCTAGAAGGCTCAGGTTCAGTTTCCAGCACACACATGATGGTTCACAACCATCTGTAATTCCAGTTCCAGAGAATCCAATTCTCTCTTCCGGCTCCTTGGGCACAAGACATGCCATGCGCACACACATACATGCAGGCAAAATACAAATACACAACCAGGAGTGGTGGAGCATGACTTTAGTCCCAGCACTCAGGAGGCAGAGGCAGGTGGATCTCTGGGCGTTCAAGGCCAGCCTGGTCTACATAGTGAGTTCCAGGTCAGCCTGGGCTATAGGGAGACCCTGTCTCAAAAAGGTCATATATGTGTGTGTGTGTATAAATCTTTTTAAAAATTAGAGATTAGGGCTAGTGAAAAGATTCAGTGGTTAGCAGCACTTACTGCTCTTCCAGAGGACCTGAGTTCAATTGCCAGCAGCAAAGTCAGGTGGCTCACAACCGCCCATAACTCTAATTCTAGGGGGATCTGAAGCCTCTGGCCTCTACAGGCACCTGCACTCATGTACCTGTACTCACACATACACATAATTTAAAATAATAAAACTATTTTTTTAAATTAGAGATTGGGGGCTGGAGAGGTGGCTCTGTGGTTAAGAGCACTTGCTGTTCAAACATGAGAACCAGAGTTTGGATCCCAGTACCACATAATAAGCCACGTGTGGTTCCATTCAAACCTATAATCTTAGCATTGAGGATGAAGAGACGGGAGAATCACTGGCTTCCAACCTAGCCAAGAAAACATGAGCTCCTGGTTCAAGGAGAAATCTTGCCCCAAAGGAATAAGGCAGAGTGATAGAGGACACCCAATGCTCTCCTCTGGTCTCCATGCACACTCATACACATGCACATATACCAGACACACATACACTACCCTCATACACATATATATATACCTACACACATTTTTTCTTCATTTAAAAAGAATTAGAGCCAGGCGTGGTGTCGCACGCCTTTAATCCCAGCACTTGGGAGGCAGAAACAGGTGGATCTCTGTGAGTTCAAGGCCAGCCTGGTCTACATAGTGAGTTCCAGGATAGCTGAGACCACAGAGAGACTGTCTCAAAAAGACCGGAAAAAAAAAAGAATTAGAGCCAAGCATGGGGACCCACACCTTTAATCCCAGCACTCGGGAGGCAGAAGCAGGTGGCTCTCTGAGTTCCAGGCCAGCCTGGTCTACATAGCGAGTTTCAGATCAGCCAGTGCTACACAGTGAGACTCTGTCTCAAAAAAATAAGAAAAAAAAGAATAAAGAATTAGAGCTCCCCAGAAGTTCACTGTCCACTACTGCCCTATGTGCCCTTTCCTCCTCCTCCATACCACTCCCAAACTCTTCCTTCCTAATCTTTTATTGCTATGGTTTGGGATCTGAACAAAGAGGAGGGAACTGGTAGGGAAGGGGAAAGAGGAGACATTCAGGACTTGTGTTCCTACAATGATCTAGAGTCAGCAACAATGAACCTACCACAACTCCAGGACTTTAGGAGGCAGCTTTTCAGGAACCTGGTAATACTGAAGGACCCAGGAGAGGACGTCCCTCCACCGATCCATTTCTGCCAGAGCCTGGATCCCCACAACACACAGGGAACATTTCACCTCCATGAAGCTGTCAGCAGAAAAGATCGATTTGGGTTTAGAAGTGGTTCCCCACTATCCTCCTTCCCTCCTCCAGTCTAGGACTGATCTCTAGCATTCCACTCAGATGCTACCACCTTTACCTTCCCTGTCATTATTGGGCCAGACCTCACCACTGGTCTCCTGGGCTGCCCTTCCCCCTGGAGTTAACTTCTCCTAAAGGTAAATGAACTATTGCCCAACACATATCTTTGTGTCCAGTTGAAATCAGGTTTGAATAAACAGCATTTTTTAATCCTGTAGAAAATGGCATGCACTAGCTGGGCGTGGTGGAGCACGCCTGTAGTCCCAGCACTTGGGAGGCAGAGGCAGGCGGATCTCTGTGAGTTCAAGGCCAGCCTGGTCTACATAGTGAGTTCCATGACGGCTGGGGCTACAGGGAGACCCTGTCTCAAAAAGACCAAAGAAAATGTCATGCATGCAGCAAAGAGGTGTAGACTGAAGGAGAATGGGAGTCCAGAGTTTGCTTAGTGAGAAATGGACGTGGAGTAAAGTTTCTGGGAAGGTGTTATGTATAGGAATTTAACAGGCCTTTTCAAATTACCTAGTAAGGCACTTCCAGACAGTCATAAGTAAAGCCTTAATATTCATTATGACAACCCCCTTGGCCCTAAAACCACAGCCAAGACTCCCCAGTTCAGGCTTCTCTGGTGTCAGCTTTGACTATTCTGCCCACCACCACCCCTAGTGTGGTCTAACCTAGTTCTAACAGTTTTACAATCCACAGAGAAATGGCAACCCCAGCTGCCAGAGGAGGCTAGTGACATCAAAAAGAGCAACTCAGGGCAAGGTTTCTGAAAAGTAAACTCATCCAGTCTTTAAACAGGAACAGAAACAGTAGTCCTGCCTTGACCCTCATTTCCCATCAGTCAAGGTCTGGAGCAGGTGGGAGGAGGGGCACCCAAAGGAGGTCTGCTGCCTGTTTACTGAGCCCACTTACTACTGAACATTAAACACACATCATCCTGTCCTCATGATGTTCTACATTGAAACTGGGCAAAGAATTGGCTGTGGCCAGGGAGTGGTTGCACAAGCCTTTAATTCCAGCACTCTTGAGGCAGGGGCAGATGGGTCTCTGTAGTTGAGACCAGCCAGGTCTATATAGTCACACACACACACATACACATACACATATACAAACACACACACACACACACTCGAGGACTAGCGGGGCGTGGTGGTGCACGCCTTTAATCCCAGCACTCGGCAAAGAATTGGCTGTGGCCAGGGGGTGGTTGCACAAGCCTTTAATTCCAGCACTCTTGAGGCAGGGGCAGATGGGTCTCTGTAGTTCGAGAGCAGCCAGGTCTATATAGTCACACACACATACATACACATACACATATACATACACACACACACACACTCGAGGACTAGAGGGGCGTGGTGGTGCACGCCTTTAATCCCAGCACTCGGGAGACAGAGGCAGGTGGATCTCTGTGAGTTCGAGGCCAGCCTGGTCTGGTCTACACAGTGAGTTCCAGGACAGCTGGGGCTACAGGGAGACCCTGTCTCAAAAAGACCAAAAAAAAAAGGACTGGCTGTGGCTTCCCACCAAGCTCTGTTATTGTTAAGGTTCAGATAGCCCTGCCCCCTCACCAACAGGATCCCACATTAGATGTGAGTTCTTATGTTATTTAGCCAATTATCTCTCATTGATGATTTTGTTCCTATAAGATGTTACTCAGATGTAAGACTTCAAATCTTGGTCTACAATGCTGTAGTGCCCACTTACAGCTAAGGGAGGCAACCCACTATTGTTCTAGCCAAAAAAATGAAGTGATGGCTAAATTTGTTTTCTCTCCCTATCTAGAAGCCTTTGAGAGGTAACTGACACTGATTCTAGCCACTGCAACAGCTATCAAAATGCCTGAAAACAAATCCTGAGTCCATCACTCTCAAGGTCACCCCTGGCAGAAGAAAAAAAATGAAAAATGAGCTATTACCTTGGTGCTAACCATTGCTCCTTGCCTCTTCAGATATTTTCCAAAAACTCTTACTAATTTTAATCAGTTGTTACCTTCCTTCCCTCCACATGTACACAAGAGCCTGTCAACCATCAAGGACCCTGTTGAGATGCAGGAGAGGGAACCCCTGCTGTCTGACTGAACCCTAATCCAGCCCCAGCCCCCCCCATCCTATAACAAGTAGCAAGTCGACAATTACGCCCCCTAACCTATAACACAAAAGGCTGGAATGTTAAGGTTCAGATAGCCCTGCCCCTTCACCAACAGGATCCCAAGGACTTCTCAAGCTCCTGAGAAGAGGGAACCTAGCTGATAAGCACCTTGGTCTTTGAAGTCAAGAGAAGCAGACTTTTCTCCGCTGTTTGGCCAACACAACAGGTTTCCCCTTTGATCTCTAAAGAGGACAGGTTTTAACAGTCCTGCTCTCCCACGTCCCTCCACCCAACTTTAAATAAAAAAATACATCTTCCCGCCTTCTGCAAGAAGCAGAAGCCTCCCTTTTTAAAAGACCCCAGCTCAAGACCCAGGCAGACATTTTCCCTGCCCGGAAGGGAATCTGTCCCATGTGTTCCTTAGCTAATAAACCCTATTTTGATAGCGTTTTATCTGTGCCTCGGTGCCTCATCCTCCATTTGCTCTTTCTCCACCAACTTTTTACCTATCAGTTATATGATTTGATTTCTTCATTGTTCAGTGCCCGGTTCCTCCTCCCTAGCATGGCACAAAATGAGGAACCAGACTTGCAAAGGCGTCCCTAGTTAAACCTAGATGCAATCCTCTAGTGCAATCTGGCAATGCAGTGTCCCTCCCCCAAAAGGACCGGGAAAGGAACCGAGCCCAGCACGTACGTGCCACCCGTGGGCTCCTCAGCCAGGGCGTCGTAGGCCAGACTCTGGCAGGCGCGCTCGCACGTCTCCAGCGCCGCGGGGAAGTCCAAGTGCACCACCAGGAAATCGGCCGCCTCCTCCAGCAGGTGCACCGCCAGGGCCACGGCCGGGAGGGCGCGTGCAGGCTCACTGCTCCGCAGGGTGCCCCCGAGCCCTTTCAAAGGGGCTGCAGAGGTGGAGGCGTCGCTCTTCATAGCCAGCCTGTGCTGGGGTCTGTCCTCACGGGTCAGAAGGACCACCTCTCCCGAGGCTCCTGGAGATCCGCAGTGGGCCTGGGAAATAGGCAGCAGGCTAAATTCCCCTCCCCAGCCCCCTGCTCGATTCCTGTAGAAGGAACAGGAAGGGGCTGGACCTAAAGTACGGCCTGCGCTAGGCAACAGCCTGACATCAGCCAACAGCCTGACACCTTGCCAACAGATCTACACATGGACCTGATCCCACCCCTTGACCTGTGCTGGAAGCACCCGAACTCCCAGGTCAGCGTCCGTGCTGCTTCTGGCTCCAGAAACAAGCGGACACCTCACGCACCGTCGCCATCCTGCGCATGTTCAGAGCGCCGGATTCTGGGAGTTGTAGTTCCTGGCTCTTGGTTCCCCGCTCCCTAGAAACTTAGGAGCGAGTTCTGTACTCAACCTCCAGCATACCTCGCCTAGAAACTGTCGCCTTCCAGGGAGAGAAAGCATCGGCCCACCTGCTTTGACAAGGGAAAATGGGACTATAGACCATAAATGAGTCCCAGAGGAGGCTGGAAGGAAGAAATTCCAGCAAGAAGGTGGAGCTACTGGTACGCTTATTATGAACGTCGGAAGGGGTGACGTTGAGAATATCGGGAGTCAGCCTAGGAAAGACTGAAAAGAGCTGGCCCAACCGGACATGTTAGTGCATTCCTGTAGTCCTAGCACTTAGGAGGCCGAGGCAGGTGAATCTCTGTGAGTTCAAGGCCAGCCTGGTCTACATAGTGAGTTCCATGCCAGCTGGGCCTACAGGGAAACCCTGTTTCAAAAAGACAAAAAAAAAAAAAAAAAAAAATCTGGCCCATTCCCAATCCTGGGCCACTTCCCATTCCTGGGCCAAGCTCACATGGGTTCGATACTTTAAGGCTTGGCATCGTGCGAAGAACTTTCTGTGCGATCTCAGTTATTTCTGCCCTTATCTCTATAGGTTAAAAACAACTACTCCCTTTTACTGGTGGGGAAGGCGACACAACCAGTAAGTTGCAAAAGCAGGCAGACAGAACCCTCATCCTATACTTTGTATTCAGCAAATATACAGTCATCAACATACAACTAAGTTACACAAGTTTCTGGTACCTGCATTGTCTGTATAAAATAAGGTTATTGTAAAAGCAAATCTATGAATACTAATGCAAATTTTCAAGTACTGGAACCAGAATAGTATTGATAAATCGCAGCTATTATATAATTTTACACAGACACATAAATCACTTATTTCTGTGTTTCAGCCAGGATTTCCTGAATTTTCCACACTTAAACTCAGTCCTTTTGGTTTTATTTCTTCCAGTTCTCTATCTACTGATCATTCTCTCAAGCTTCCCTAGAATCATTTGTGCCCATCCCCCACTGACTAGATTAGACAGGCTAGATAGATAAGGGGGCATGGAGCTAGATGTGGAAATGACCTTTTTAAAAATATTTTATTTTTTAATATTTTATTTTTATTTATTATTTTTATTTTATGTCTATGAGTGTTATGCCTGCATGTAAGTAAGTGCACCTGTGTAGTGCAATGCCCTTGGAGGATAGAAGAGTCTGTGGGATCCCCTGGAACTGGAGTTACAGACAGTTGTTAGCTGCCATGTGGGTGCTGGGATTCGAACCCGGGTCTTCTGCAAGAACAGTGTTCTTAACCACTGAACCATCCCTCCAGCCCCTTTATTTATTATTTTTATTTTATGTGTATGAGTGTATTGCCCACATTTACTAGGTGTTACCCATGTTGTGCAATCCCCAAGGAGGTCAGAAGAGGACGTTGAATCCCCTGGATCTGGAATTACAGGTGGGTTTTAGTCACTATGTGGGTGCTGGGAACCCAACCCAGGTCCTCTGCAAGAGCAGCCAGTGCTCTTAACCACTGAGCCATCTCTCCAGCCCCAGGAATGACTTTTATTAATGGGCATAATCTGGACTAATGACTTTTTTTTTTTTTTTTGGTCTTTTTTGTTAAGGTTCAGATAGCCCCCCCCCCTCACCAACAGGATCTCAAGGACTTCTCATGCTCCTGAGAAAAGGAAACCAAGTTGATAAGCACCTTGGTCTTTGAAGTCAAGAGAAGCAGACTTTTCTCCACTGTTTCGCCAACACAGCAGGCTTCCCCTTTGATTGCTAAAGAGGACAGATTTTAACAGTCATACTCTCCCACTTCCTCCCACCCAACTTTAAAAAAAAATACATCTTCTCGCCCTCTGCAGGAAGCAGAAGGCTTCCCCCTTAAAAGACCCCAGCTCATGACCCAGAGCAGACATCTTCCCTGCCCAGAAGGGAATCTGTCCCATGTGTTCCTTTGCTAATAACCTCTGCTTTCTCCTGATCAACCCTATTCGTCATATGGCTACTTTTTATCTATCATTTTTGAGACAGGGTCTCCCTGTAGCCACAGCTGGCCTGGAACTCATTGTGTAGACCAGGCTGGCCTTGAACTCAGAGATCTGCCTGCCTCTGCCTCCAGCATGCAGGGATTAAAGGCATGGACCACCACACCAGGCTTGGACTAAAGACTTTTAATTAACCCCAGGAAAACCATGTGCTCTTGTGTCTTGTGACTTTGGCACTTGGTCTTATATTCTAGGCAACTCCATTCAAAAAGATAATTGAATGAATGAATGTGGGTATGCTTGAGAACATATAAAAGTGCTGAAAAGTGGCACGCCTCCATCTCCACTGGACACAACAGACACTAAGAAGGTCTGTTGAGATTACAGTGGAGCCAAATTTGTACTTCCCTAATGGAAGCTGGAGAAGTCATTTTGAATAAAATCATGGGTGGGGCTGGACTTGGGACACAGTTCCAGAGATTCAAGAGGACAGTTCCATTAGCACAGTTCAGGAGGCAGACGGTTCTAACAGATATCTAGGGGAACAAGTGTCCTCTGAGTTCAGACCCACTCTAAAAACTAAACTTAGGGCCAGGTATGATGGCACATGCCTTTAATCCCAGCACTCCAGAGGCAAAGGCAGGAGGAGCTCTGTGAGTTCAAGGCCAGCCTGGTCTACATAGCAAGTTCCAGATCAGCTGAGGCTGTTTTGCTGGATAGCTTTGGTGTCAACTTGACACACCTTGGTTGAGGGAGCCTCAATTGGGGAATTTCCTCTATTGGACAGGCTTGTGGCCATGTCTCAGAGGCATCTTCTTGATGAGTGATATGGGAGAGCCCAGTCCACTGTGGGTGGTGCCACCCCTGGGCAGGTGGGCTTGTGTTGCATAAAAAAGCAGGTTGAGCAGGGGCCAGGGAGCAAGCCAGTAAGCAGAATTCCTCCATGGCCTGTGCTCCAGCTCCTGCCTCCAGGTTCCTGTCCTGAGTTCCTACCTTGGGCTCCCTGATGAACTGTGACCTGAGAGATGTAAGATAAAATAAACCCTTTGTTGCAGGATGGAGTTCCAAAAAAAAAATCACCAACACCATTTCAGTAGAAAGTAGCAAGGTAAAATTTTATTACTAGTGGCAGGCTGTCTATCTCGGGAGTAGAAGCAGCCCCCGAACATTAACCATTTAGAGTTTTTATAGGATTACAGAAAGCATAGTTTAAACAGAACATCTGTGAGCCAATCAGGTTTGTACAACATAGCAGAATTTGAATTTACCAATTAACAGTCTGTTACTGCGTGGGCAAGTGAGGCAAGTGTACAACTCGGCAATTTTTAAAATTAGTCAACTACCTAGCCATAACAAGCATTGTAACAGAAGTCAAAATCAGCAGTTACCAGATGGTCACTGAATAACAGGGTGGTCTCATACTACATGTCAGGGTGACCTAAAATAGCAGAGCAAGCAAGTTAGCTGGATGCAGGATGTCCCAGATCAACATATTTTGCAGGTTTGTGGTTAGGCCATTTTCTCGGGACTCAAGGTTGCCCCCCTTCTGGGTATTTCCCATAAGTGGAACAGAAGTCACTGTTGAAATAGCCGCTCTGGGCAAAATGGAGTGACTTGGGTCAGGTTGCTAATACATTTCACCTTTACTCCCCAAGTTGGTATTGGTCAGAGTATTTTGTCACAGCAATGGCGAAACAAACTAGAACAGCTACAGAGAGGCCCTGCCTCAAAAGACAAAAAAAAGAGTCAGGCTTTTATTTGTTCAGTTATAATGTTGGTGTAATTAATAACACCCGCAGCCAGGACCTACCCATCTCATATATCCTCTTCTTTTACTGCAAGGCACAGACATATCTGCCTTTAATTCTCTGCAGAAAGTCCTCACAGGCAGCTGAGGCAGAAACATGAAGTTCATCAGTCTCTGAGGAAGTTTATGTATTCTGATCATGTAAGGTAATAAGGTCAAGACTTCACTTATCCACAAATACATTTTATTTTATTTTTTATTTTATGTTTATGAGTGTATTGCCTGCATGTGTGTAAGTGCACCCATGTCCTGCAATGCCTGTGGAGGTCAGAACAGGGCATCAGATCCCCTGGAACTGGAGTTGCTAGCCACCATGTAGGTGCTGGGAATTGAGCCCAGGTCCTCTGCAAGAGCAGTCAGTGCTCTTTAATCACTGAGACATCTCTCCAGCCCTGCACAAATACTTTTTTAAAAATTTTACTACAAACCAGTCATGGTGGCACAAACTTTTATTTTTTTTAATATTTTCTTTACTATTTTTATTTTATGTGTATGAGTGTATTGCCTGCATGTATATAAGTACACCCTTGTCATGCAATACCTGCAGATGTCAGAAGAGGCCATTAGATCCCCTGGCACTGGAGTTACAATGGTTATTAGCCATCATGTGGCTGCTGAGAACCGAACCTGGGTCCTCTGCAAAAGCAGACAGTGGTTTTTTTGTTTGTTTGTTTGTTTTAATGTCTTTTTGAGACAGAGTCTCCCTGTAGCCCCAGGAACTCCCTATGTAGACCAGGCTGGCCTTGAACTCACAGAGATCTGCCTGCCTCTACCTCTGGAGTGCTGGGATTAAAGGCATGTGCCACCATGCCCAGTTGCAGTCAATGCTTTTAACTGCTGAGCCATCTCTCCAGCACCCCCAGCACATGCCTTTATTCCCAGCACTCAGGAGGCAGAGCTAGGCAGATCTTTGTGAGTTCAAGGCTAGCCTATACATAGTAAGTTCTAGGCCAGCCAGGGCTACATAGTAAAACCCTGACTCTAAGGAAAAAAGGAGAGAGAGAGACTAGAGAGGAGCGATGGCTCAGCAGTCAAGAGCACTAGCTGCTCTTGCAGAGACTTAGGTTCACATCCTAGCACCCACATGACCTCCATAACTCCAGTTCCAGGGGATCTGATGCCCTCTTCTGGCCTCCACAGGCATTGCATGACATAAGTACATTTACTTGCAGGCAAAAGGCATACACATAAAATAAAAAAGAAATAAAGTGCTGGGCATGGTGGTGCATGCCTTTAGTCCCAGAACTTGGGAAGCAGAGGCAGGCAGATCTCTGAATTCAAGGCCAACCTGGTCTACATA